TTTCTATAGAAACTGATTTTAAAATCGACAAAATGTTGATAAGTCGCCAAATTTATAACTATTTAATAAAAGAATTCACATCCCCCAAAAAGTGAAAATTGTTTAATTATTACAAAAATGATTTTCAAAATACTTATGTTTAACTTCTTGCTTAGAAACTCGAGTATTCCATGATTTATATTAGAAATAGAATCAAATTATAACCCATTCAAAAGATAACCATATATGTCAGTGAATCGCCAAAAATATTCTTCCAAAATGCTAATTCATACTCAAAATGGCAGTCATAAAAACAGACAAAAATTTCAGATGATTAAAATTAAGGACCTTCTGCTGATTTTAGCCAAAATTAAGGACATTTAAAGACCAAAAATTGATTTAAAAAAATTTAAGGACTTTTAAGCACCGTATGAACCCTGACCTTGGTAGGAAATAAAGTAAGTTTAGCATTACTTACTTCTGCAAGGAAATTTACTTTTTACTGGTTACAAAAACGCACTTTAAACTAACTTTAATATTTTTATTTATTTCTAAAAAAAAGAAAAAAAGAAAAGACAATAAGAAATGGAAATTGCTACTGTTCTCCCATCCAAAGGTTTCCTTGTCTTACTTTTCTTCATTAGCTAATTCTTGAAGAATGCAAGCAAAATCAGCTGGTTGAACAGATTTTTTTGCCATGAAAACCGATATAAAATTTATAGAGCCAAATGTATTCAAATTAAAATAATACAGTCAAAAGTCGTTAATTCGGACACCCATAATCTGGAATGTCTGTTTATAGAATTAATTATGTGTTATGTATGTTTATAGAATTAAAGAGAAAGTATTATCACGTAAAATGAAGCAACTTAAACAACTTACATTAAAAGAAATGTTTAATAAAGTAAACAAATAAATATTAAGCTTTTTTTTTTTTTTTGTAAATTTTGATACCCTTTAGATCATAATTGTTCTTTATTTCCTAAATTAAGGTTTCATATTTTTAATTTTACAATTTCTGCATGCCATCTTACCAGATTTAAACTGATGATCTATAATCCGGAAAAATCGATAATCCGGAATCGCCGAAGTCCCGACGAGTCCAGATTAACGACTTTTAACCGTACACAGCAATTAATAACAGAAACTTATTTGAGAAAAAAAAATATTTTCCTAATTTTCACCCACGAGCATGTGCGTGTCGTAAACTTTATGAAAAAGCTGCCATGTAGCACAAAAGCAACCTCCCCCCCAAAAAGTGAAATGACTTCCTGTTGGCACATTCCATGATGAGGGGAAGGGTAGAAAGGAAGAATTGAAATGACCTTCAGACGTCTCAGTTTCGATATGCGAAAAATGTACATTAAAAACTGAATTTGTTGTAAATTTTGCACATATGTGCATGCTGGAATGTTAAATTTCTTCCTATTTTGTGCTAATACTTTCTCTCTAATTCTATAAACGGACATAATTTCTTGTTCAGTTACAAAGTTCCAATACTATAATTACTGTGTCGAGAATACTGACTAACTTGTCAATCAAAATTTTTTCGTTTTCAATAACCTCTCTGTCACTTTCTTTACTATCGGAAGTTGGTATTTTCTGGATCTAGAACCATACTACAGATTTCGCCCTTCGTTAATTGATTGATGATTGGGGCAATGTCGTCGCAATGAAAAATTTCTGTTATATCATCTTCATTTATTACTGCTTCTCCACATTTCTTTACAAAATCCAATAACTGGAAAATTTCACCTTTAGTTTGCAATGTCCAAAAACCTTCAAATTCACGGCTATCATCTTCATCGTCCTCACTATGAAATATGATAGCTGGCCATACACAGTACAAAGCCCGTAATCCTGACGTCCATTATTCAGAATGATGTATAATCCAGACCTCAAAGCCACAAACTTTTTTTGTATGCTTTACGCATGCGCGTTTAATGTATAAACGGATGGTATAAGCTAAGCTAAAATTACCTTTACTGATTCTAAGACATCTTAGTTAATGTTGCAGATTGCGCTGTTCCTTAATTTTCTAATTGGATCCGGCTTATTATTTTTTGTAGACTGTTAGAGCAATCTTATAAAAATTAAGCTTGAACTTTCGATTATGTCAAAAAGAGTTTCCAATTCTGGAGCTGCCAAAGTACCTACAAAGCGAAAACATGTTTCGATGTACCGCTTCCTATAGTGAAGAAAGTAACAGAGAGGTTATTGAAAATGAAAAAATTTCTATTCACAAGTTGGTCAGTATTCTTAAAGTAAGCTCGGACTTTTGATTATGTCAAAAAGAATTTCCGATTCTGAAGCTGCCAAAGGATCTACAAAGCGAAAGCCTGTTTTGATGTTCATTAAACAAAAAGTGGAATTGCTGCAAAAAAATGCATAAAGGCATATCCTTTGTTTCTCTAACCATTCCGAAATCTGTTTATCAATTTCACGCTGCTCTGTAGGGTGGGGGTGCAATGAACTGGAAGTTGATCTGTCAGCACTATCCTATCTTCAGGGCAGATGTTTTTATTTTATTCGGCTTATTCCTTACTAAATGTAGTATTTCATCTCGATGTACTCCGTCTTTGATATGATTTAAATCAAATTCCTCGTCATTATAAATAATACGAATACACATCAAATACTTTTCTGGTTGCAATTTTCTAATTTCGACTATGCGTAATGTATGCTTTACGCATGCATGCATTGAAAGAAATGTTTAATAAAGTAAAAAAATAAATATTAATATTTTTTCTGTAAATTTTGATACTCTTTAGAACATAATTGCTCTTTATTTCATAAATTACGGTTTCATATTTTTAATTTTATAATTTCTGCATGCCATCTTACCAGATTTAAACTGATAATCTATAATCCAGAAAAACAAAATCCAGAAATCTGGAATTGCTGAAGTCCCGACGAATCCGGATTAGAGACTTTTGAATGTATAACTGTATTTACATCTTTAAGACATCAATAATCTTACAGACATCAATAAGTTATTACAGATTTGCTTGTAAAGGACTTGCTATTTTTCATCAAAGTTTATTATACTGCATTTTGTTTGTTTTTTACATTAATTATTACACTTTTCTGCAATAAGAACATATTATTTTGTTTTAGAATGCATAAATAAGTACTAATTTTACTAGAATTTCTTGGATATATAATTGAAATATTTTGCTTTTATATTGATTATAACACTTAAGTTTTTGTGAAGGGCTTTAAGAACTCTATTAAAATTTATAATGCGATATACCTTCAAGCAGCATTTCCTCAAAAAGTTTACAATTGGAATTAATTCACAGAATAATGTTTTGTTCCAGTATTTTTAAACTACACTTTGAAGCCATTTAATTGTTTTAGCATTGAAGCTGTGAATATTCTACAAAATACCTATTCCTTTGCTAACACACTCACTAATGCTTTCTTCTGAAAAGGCATTTTCCTCATAAAGCCTCTTTCCCATTTTAAAGGCGGGGTATGTAAGATAAAAAATATGTAAATCAAAATTATAATTTAAAAAGGCCTCTTAATTGCTCATTTTTAATTTGGGTACTTCCTCTCTAGTAATAATTTTCTTGAAACTGCCTCATATCTGAAAATTAATTCTACATTATGTCATCTTAAACTTCTGCATTGCCTTTAAGTTTTGGCCAATCAGATTAACAAAAAATTTTACTATAAATCCGCCGCTACCCTCCCTATTTCTCTGCCTACACTTACTAGATAAAAGACATCTCTAGCTTAACAGCTCCTGTTAAAAATGTAATGCATCAGCATCAAACTTATGGGGTGCAGATTGGCCTCATTGTGATGTGCCATGCCATAGGGCAATCTAATAAAGAAATACCTGGATTATCAAGTGATTTTGTGATTCTTCAAAAGTTCTCTGCATCTTGTACTACGTAACTGATATTTTCAGTAATCTTCTATGTATTTCATATATGTATTAATTTGTGTAATAATATACATATATAAATGTAGTATTTTAATTGTATAGGAGGAATCCGGTACTTTTAACAGCTTGCAGTCGTCATGGCCAAGAATGGATATTTTGATGTGCTGCAGCTTGACGTCTACATAGTTAGATAGATGGATGCATAAACCACAAACTTCCAGATGTAGCCATTTCAAAACATAATTTTATTTTATTGTATTTCACATCAGATCATTTTTGTAGACAAGGAATTTATCCAGTCATATTTAAATATGATAATTTTTATAGACACTGATTTTTAAAAGTACAGTGTAAGCATTTTAGGCAGGACAGCATAAGTGGCGCAGACTTGTTTGCAGGGTAGAAGTTACGAAAAGGAATGACGTAGTTGTTTTGCAAAGCAGAATTTATACCTCGTAGATGCATAAGTATATCTAAGCTGCTATTGGTTAATTTTAGTTTGTTATGTAACATGGAAAAATCTCGAATTTGGGAGAACAGATGAATTTAGGGGGAGATCATAAAATCTAGAATAATTAATTTTCAGGTCGCCAATCATTTCTTAAAGCAGACATTGTATTTTGTTACATCTTACACACATATATATAAATCAAAAAGGAAATATCGGAACTAAATTGAAAATGTTTGTTCCTTCTATATGAAGGTTTAATCATTTCTTCTCCAGGTAAGGAATTATAAAATGGTGTACATGTAAATTTAATGAATCTTTAAATATATTATCTTAACTGAAAATTAATATAATTAATATAATTAAAGAAAAATTTAAAAAAAAAAAAAAAAAAAAATTACAGAACATCATATATAACAAAACAAAATAACATTTCTCTTTGATCATATATACATTTATATATACACACAGACATAAATTTATGTATATTTATAAATATTTGTGTAAGCAAGCTTTTTTCTTTTCTTTTTTTCTTTTTTTTTTTTCTAATGATACAAATCATGATATAATAGAAACAGGATTTATATTTAATGTACAGATACATATAGTACATATAAAAAATATATATTCATGATCTAAGAGAATATATAACAGTGGAAAATTACATTACAAGCTTACATTTTGATCTAGAATGCGTAAAACTGGTAAGACTGGAGGTTTGACTTGTTGTAAATAATGAATAACCATTAATATATATGAATATGATGACAATGTTCTAGAAACCGTTTCAGCTATAGAAGCTTTCTGAAAAAGAAATTCAAAACATAATTTTTAGGATGAAATTTAGTGAAATAAAAGAAAATTTAGACACTAGTTCTATATTGAAACAAGTTACTTTCGCCAGAAGTTTCAAGGCACATCCCAGAATTTTACAACGGTCATCAAGTAAGCTATAAGTGTGAAGAAGTACAGAATTATGAACAGCCTAAAGAAGAAAAGAATAGACAACAGTTTATGTTTACTAAATTAAAATGTCACTTTTTATAATAAAAATAACAGAATAAGTTAAATGCATTAATGAAACTAAACAAGACAGAAAAATGAATATCAATAACTCAAAATAAATTAAGAACATTTACAAAATATATAAGATTTTGTATCCATTTCTGCATTAACAAGTTTATTTATTTATAGAAAGAACACAGACCATTTCAAGAAATCTGAAGAAGGATATCACTATTGTTACAGTAATAGGTAGTATGCTCTCCCCTCACACACATGCAAACACACACACAAAGGGAAAATGAATAATTAAAGCGACTTTAGAGTATATATATATATATATATATATAAATCAAATATATAATAATCAATATATATATGTATTAAAAAAAGAAGAGAGAGAACTGTTTTAAGGATCTATAACACTCATAGTCACATGAAAAATAATCTGCCTATACTTATATCCACTGCTTGCTTATGCTTGTAGTTACTTCTAATTTCTTCCTACATAATATATTTTTCAGTATATTGCATACTGTTATTTTCTTCTGAATGACACCCAAATTAAAATAAGCTTCTTTTGAAATATGTTCTAATGCAGAAATAGTATATACAATGTCATCATTCCACTTATATATAACAAACAAGCTAAAAGAAACTGATTTAACTGATGGTTCAACCTATTTTTTTATTTTTCTTAAAAATAGGTATGCATTTAATTGCTGAATATTAATTTAAACACAACACTTTGTGCACATAAATACTATTCCCCCTCCCTCAAAGAAGTCTTCAGTATATATCAGACGTCAGAATTCAACATGCATATTGTTTAAGTTAGAAGAGAAACACACCAATGTAAAATTTAGAAACAGGCAAAGAAGCAAACTTAGTTTGACACAGATTCTGAATAAAACCCTATCGAATTCACTGGTGATCACACATAGGTGCCTCTTCTTCAGCAACAAAATTTTTGCACCAATACCATATTCTTCTCTGTTTAATCACCTTAGAAATCAATAGAGTTTTACTCAAGATCTATGCCATGCCAAAGCTGCTTTTTTCTCAAAACTTTAAATGCATATTTTCTTAACACTGATCTTTCAGAATTTTATAGCACTTCAGTTTAGATGTAACTACTGTCCATGTCATCCATCCTTTAATTTGGCCTAATTTTTAATCTATTGGTTTTTTCCTCTCCCTCTTACTTTTTTTTTGGGGGGGGGGTAAAACATAAGTTTTAAGTGATAGTTTAACATACTCAGCAACCTGGGTATACAGCCTAAAATCAATCAGAAAGCAAAACAAATTGTTAAAATAGTCAAAGCTAAGAAATTTTACAAATGATATTAGGATCTTTTTCAGTTTTGAAACAACTGACAATTAAAAGAGGACAACACCAAATAAAGATACTAAGAAAAAGAAATCTCTATAATGCAGGTTAATATATTAAAAATATTTTCCTTCAAGCTGCTATTTATCTATTTACAAATTACTTAAAATTATAGAAATTGAAATGCAATTAATTGCCAGTCAGTGATGTTATCATTAATTCTGTGGCTTAGGACAGTTTCATGAATAATTATGAATGGGTCAGGAAGTGCACCTACATATGGAAATGATGTAGGTCTTGAACACTTTTGCCCAGCTTTAAATCAATCTTAATCAATGCAAACTAAGCGCTCTGTTGTTCTCATTTTCCTTAGCAATAACTTTTCAGAAGAATAAGCATATATGTGAATTTTGAATGCCTCAATTAAAATACTACAACCCACAGTGTTGCATATATAAATGCATGTCCAACAGTCTGATAACCAGCCTTTAGTGACATAAAAATACGATAAAGATTGATACAAATTACGGCAGCACAAAAAATTGTGGTGTATCACAAACCATGTGCTTTATTTTTAGAAATTATTATATTTGAAAGGAACATAAAATATTCGTATTATATTTATAAGAGATATATTAATAATAAAGTATTTATACAGAAAAAATTACTTTTCATGCATTTATGAGAATTTAATAAAAAACAAAAATGAATATGAGGCAAGCACTGAAATTATTCATATGGCGTAAAGAAAGAAAACAGTACGTATAGATATTTTCGACAACTCAAGTTTACCTTCAAGCAGTGTATAATATGTATATGTATGTTATTAAGACAAACAAACAGAAGTTATTAAATATGTTACATACCAATATATTATACAAACTGATTTCACATCTAAATCTACTAGGAATGCAGTAAAATTTGATAATTGGTATTTGTGCTCTCCATACAACCAGTATATTCTTAAACTCCTTATTTCTTCGCAGATGGTTTCTAAGAATCATAAGGATTTGTCGAGGACTGGTGTTCTGAAACAGAAAAGATATAATTTCAGAATAAATAAATAAATAAATTTGCATTCTGCAGATTCAGTCAGTTATAGAACACATGAACTCTGTTAAATATTTAACTATTTTTAAAAATGGAATTAAATAGTTATTGAATATAATTAATGGCATATACTAAAAGATCTGAAAAATATTAATAGCAAAAAATATAATTAAAGAATTTCTATGAACATTCTAAACTGTAAATTATCTGAACTACAGCATTACCTCTTTCCTTCTGTTTTTTAAAATCATGCAAATATCCAAATCACTAGCTTTGAATCCAAATCCATTTGCTGATGATCCAAAAAGTGTCAGTTGAGCATCTAGTTAAAAAAGAATTTATATCATTTAAAATTAAAAATTCAAGGTTACCAAACACAGATAGTTGAGCGATTTTTTTCACAGGTACAGGTTTTTGTTTCTTAAAGAAAATTATTAACATTAATAATAAACAAGAAAAGGCCTAGTTTTAAAACTTATTCTAACAGGTTGGCAAGAAAGTAACTTCAGTTTGTACAAATACGAGGGCCATCCAGGAAGTAGATTACGTTTCCGTCTGTGTCCGCTAGGGGCAGGGCTAGCGCGGCCATCTTGGGGTCAGAGCGTTGCGCAGCTCAGTCTGCATCTAGCCGTGCTAGTGAGAGGTTCGTCGTGCTGTGCTCCGTTCAGATACTGTGACGGTTTGAAATGTCTGCGTTAATTGAAATCCCGCGAGCTGCGAGGTGCGCTCAGTAATAAGGTTTCTGACTGCAAAAAACTGTAAACCGATAGAAATCTATCGGCAGCTTCGTGAAGTGTATGGGGACAACATTATCACTGAAGGTGGAGTGCGTCAGAGGGTCATAAGATTTCAAAATGGCCGACCCCAATGTTTCATGACGAAGATCGAAGTGGGAGACCCAGCATAGTGACCGCCGAACTTCTCGAAAAAGTCGATGCTAAAGTCCGTGAAAATCGAAATTTCACAATAACGGAACTTTCTTTGAGTTTTCCACAAATTTCGCGAAGTTTGTTGCACGAAATCATCAGCGAAAAGCTTGGTTACCACAAGTTTTGTGCAAGATGGATTCCAAAAATCTTGACAGAGGACCACAAAATCAGCGAATGGCTGCAGCGTTGAACTTTTTGGACACTTACCATAAGGATGGTGACTCTTTACTCGATCGCACTCGTTACTGGTGATGAATCATGGGTGAAACATGTGAACTGTGAAACGAAATTGCAATCAATGCAGTGGGGGCACACAAGTTCTCCCCAAAACCCAAGAAATGCATGCAAACAATGTCGGCAAGGAAAAGCTGATGTGGCGACCGTTTTTTGGACAGAAAAGGTGTAATTTTTGGTGGACTTCCTGGAAAGAGGCACTACAATAAACTCTCAAAGGTATTGCCAAAACTCTCCAAAAACTCAGAAGAGCAATTCAAAACAAGCACAGAGGAATGTTGAGCTCTAAGATCTTGTTGATTCACGACAACGCCCCCCGGCCCCACACGGCAAATGTCACTCGTAAAGTTCTTGAATCTTTTAAGTGGGAGTTGTTTCCTCCGCCGTACAGTCCCGTCCGGCCCGCGAACCTGCAAAGAGCTGGCCTGCTTCCAGCTATGATTGACGAAGCTGGCTATGCAGCGTGACGAAGAGACAGCTGCAAGAAGCGGCACGAATTGAAGGCGAAGGAAATTTTCGACGAAGGAATTTCCAAGCTCGTACATCGCTACGATAAATGCCTTAATTTGTATGGTGACTATGTAGAAAGTAGTATTTGAGTGTTGGCTTTCATCTGTATATAATAAAATTTGTTTCCTATACTTTGCTTATTTTTTTATTCCAAAACGTAATCTACTTTCTGGATAGCCCTCATACATAGTATTACATTCGTTTTTGTCATCCTTCTATCAAAATTTTTTTTTTCCTTTGAGATTTGACAGCTGACACTTTTAGGTTGCTACAGAAACAAATTCTGTGTATTTTGAATTACCACTGCTAGTTTACAGTCAATTTCAACATGGGGTGCAAAAATAAACATTTCTGACATACTTTACTTTTTTCATTACATAAAGGAAGGAAAGACAATATTAAAACTGTTCTTTCCTTTCTTGCAAAGATATACATGAAATTTATGGTTTTGATTGCTTAACAGAAAGCATGTGTCAGAATAGGTTTAAAAAATTTCATTCTGAAGATTTTTCACTAGAAAATTACCAACATTCTAACTGACCTTCTAAAGACAATAATGTCAAAATTAAAGTTATAAATGAATTGAATAGTCACAGAGATATGCAAGAGACTGCAAAAAATTTAAAAGTTAAATGTATCAATTGAAACAAATGAAAATCATATAAGATGTCACAGGCTTGTAGTACAAATATCAAGCACTTTAAAGAAATTCACTTATCACAACAAATTAAAATTTGCGATATGCATTTCAAATGTAATTTCAAGCAATTTCTTTTTTACTTCCTTGTATGAAATAAATAGGAAGATTGCAATCGCAAAAAGTTTCAGGCAGCATATTTCAATGAAAATATCCATTTTGACCACTATCGAATGCAATTTAACAATGTTTTTGCATGATATCTGTATGTAAGGACAGAATAAAAGACTCATTTCCTCCAAAAGATTATAAAACTACTTTAAAATTAATTCTGAAGAGAATTTTTCGTGGCGTCTGTATGAACGTACATACGTATCTCGCATAACTCAAAAACGAGTAGCCTCAGAACGTTGAAATTTTGTATATAGGGTTGCTATAACATGTAGATGTGCACTTTGTATTTTGATTGCAATTGGCTGCACCAAACGTATATAAATATATTTATATATATATCCACTTTGTTACCCGGCTCAGTGATCTCAGTTTCTTTACTCTTATATGTTTGTAAATAGTAAATTTTTTGCTTTAAAAATGATTGAATTATATTGTTTTTATCTTCCGGTTAAGGTTTTTATGCCTTTAGTAAATCTGTGTGCAATATTTTTAGAATTATCAACAATTTTAAAGTTGTTTAAGTGCCGCTAAGCCTTTTTTTTTTACGGCTGCCATTGATTGTTTACATTTGAAACAGCAGACTAGTGGATTTGTTGCCAATCTAGAGAAACTTAGCTCTGCAACAACAAAGATAACGCATTCATTTATTATTGCCAATTAAATCATGCTTAATCCTTTCTAGAATTTTTTCGAGGAAATAAGTGTTTAAGATTTACTTCGTAATTTTTAATACAGATATTTTGTGTTTTTATATATTTTTGCCTTCTCGCGAAGTGAGAACTGAATTAATTGAATGAGAAATACTCAATTGTCTGTCAAAAACTGTTTTTTTTTGTGTGTGTGTGTTTTGTTTGCTTAATTTCTTTTATACATCATTCTAGCTTTATTATAGTATTTGAATAGAACATGTGGCAACGATTAGATAATTCTATTCTTTAAATGATATAAATTTTGTGCATTATGAGTTATAATATGAACGAAATATAATACTGTTAAGTGAATCAAGTGCCAGAGTGTCACTATGGTAAACAAATACTAGAGTGAATTTTAAAAAATGCATTTATTCTATTGTGGTTTATGCGCTGTTGGCGAAGTAGATTTAATTCAATCCAATAAGTTTAAACGAAATGCAAGAAAAAATGTGTATAATATTCCGTACAAGGAAGTCATGTGGTGTACACACCAGATTTTTTAAATTACGTTTTCCTATCTTCAAATGAGATATCTTTGATGATGTAAAATGGATCATCTACAATAACATTAATTGAAAAAGATCACAGTGTAAGCATGATGAATCAGAAATAAATCATACTGAAATCTAAACTGCATCAAAAAAATATCATGCTATCAATTTCGATATTTTGAGCTGCTTCCAAGCAAACAAATGATCAATTCAGATATTTACTGTTACAGACTCGGATAGTTACCGTTACAGATGTTAACAACTTATTAAATTGGAGGAAGCAATCAAACAGTAAAGGACAGAACTGGCAAATTGGAAAGGAATTGTGTTCTACAACAACAATGCCAGGGCCGATACATCTTTAGCGACACATACAAAACTACTGGAGCTAGGTTGGGAAGTGATGTTGCACCCCACTCCCCATACAGCCCTGACCTTGCACCACTGGATTATTATTTATTTCAAAAGTTTACACAACTTCTTAAATGGTAAAAATTTCAGTAATAACGACGACCTCAAACTGCACTTGGTTGAATTTTTTGCTGATAAAGAAAAGAAATTCTATGCGTGCAGAATCATGAAATTACCAGAAAGATGGTAAAAGGATATCGAACAGAATGGAAGATATTTGACTGATTAAAGTTCCTTTTTTATTATAGAAAAAATTCAGTCTTATTTCAAACTAAAAAACAGAAATTTCTTTCTTTCCAACCCAATAAAAGAATGACCAGCCATCCATTTATATTTCCTGGCATAACTATTAAATTCAAACAAAGATTTTCTTTAACACTTCAACAATATAACACTTCTTGTTTTTTTTATTTTTAAACAAGATTTTCTTGTTAAAAAAGTCAAAGCAGTGCTGATGCTAAAAGCAGAATTCTATTATTAGGCTTATTAAGTTGTTCTGGTGTGGTGTATTTAATTATGGCAAAGCACACTAGGGCTATCTGCCTACGGGGAGGGATGCCTTCATGGAGGACTTTCTAAGGGAAACTGGCTAGTATACACGTTACACATGGGGAAAACCAATAAAACACCCATGCAGCCAGCCTGTTCGTGGGATTTGAACCTCGGACCGAACTACCAGTGTTCAGTGACGTTACCGCTCGGCCGCTGGTGGGCCCTATTATTAAGTTGTTCTGATTAAAACATATCAATATAACGGGTTTCAAAGATCTCATTACATAATTTTGTTACAGTCCCTTACAAATGTTTATTTTAACAGATTTCTTTCTTTACTCTTTTGCTATAACACTTCAAGGTGAAATTTCTGGTACTTCAGAAGTGTGCAGCTGAGTTACTTCATAACCAATATTACTAACAAAATAAAAACTAAATACAAGGTTGATACTATGAACAAACAGGAAATAAACACAAAAGAAAAGACAAGGAAAAATAGCAATTAATAACAATCAGCTCTTCAAGTGAGAGCTTTAAAAATTTAATCAATCTCAAGGATGATTGCAGGAAATAATAATAAATTGGAACGAGCTTAGATTTTAATGTTGCCCCAAAGGGTTTGTTTGTCCCATGATGTCAGCTCTTCTTTTTCTGACAAAGGACACTCGAATTGTTTATTTTCTAGGTTGTTTGGTTTTTAGACCAATATTCTTCATCGTTCCAACTTCTGATGTTGACGCGTAACTTTCCCAATTGTTTTCCATGTGACGATAGCTTTTTCTCTTCAGTTAACTGGAACTGTGGCATCTCTTTATTTGTAAAGTGAACACAAACATAAAAAAATATGTAATGCAAGAGTGATTTAACGAAAAACTGAGGTTTAAAAAGGCCTTTTGAATTTAAAAAAAAAAAAATAGAGGTATAAAACTTTTAAATATTTTAAATGCATTTGGTGTTTTAAATGCACAGTTAGCATAAATATAGTGAGCATATGATTGCAGAAATTTCATCTTTTTGCAAAGTTAATATGTAGGGTCAGTCAGAAAGTTAGTTGCACCCCTTCATAAAAATTTCTTGTCAAAGACCATTTTAATAAAACTGTCTGGCAACACTTGAGACATTTAGCTGTATTCTGTGACGGCTTTCATGAGGCAATTTTAGTTTGTTTGATAATCAGTCCTAAACATGTCTCGACAGTTGCAAATGGCATCCAACCTGGAAATACGTGCAGCAATTAATTTTTTAATGGGTCAAAAGGTTTAACTACTATGAAATTTATTAGCAGTTGCATGAAGTTTACAGTGAAAATGCAATGTCACTGCAAGGTACTGCGAAGTGGAACATGTTTGAGAACGGACGCACAGATATTGATGACACTGAGCGTGAGAAAAGACTATCAAATTCTGAAATTGCTGCTCACATGAATGAACGCATTCTTGCAAACAAACCCACACATGAAATCTTTAATGAATTGGATATTTCTCATGGAAATGTGCATAATATTATTTCCAATCACCTTCAACTTCATAAAGTTTGTGCTTGATGGGTGCCCCATCTACTGATGGAGGAACACAAAGAAAAATGTTTTGAAAGTGCATTGAAATTTCTGTAACGTTACCAAAAGGAAGGAAATGAGTTTTGGCACAAAATTATGACTGGAGATGATTCTTAGATTCACCACTTCTCACCTGAAATGAAATGCAGTTTTCCTTGAGTGGAAGCATTCCACATCCCCAATTTGAAAAAAATGTCGAACTATTCCATCTGCGGAAAAGGTGATGCTGATGCTGTTTTTCGACAGAGAAGGTTTGGTGCATACAGAATTCATGCTGAAGGGTGTCACAATTAATGCATCTTCTTATTGCAAAACATTAAAACAACTGCATCAATCACTTAAAAATCAATGGCCAGGTAAACTGTCAAAGACGTTGTGCTCATGCATGACCATATGCAGCAAAACAAACGTGTAACCTTCTGAAAAACTTTAGGTGGGAAGTAGCCCAGACCTCGCACCGTGTGACTTCCATGTTTTTGGCCCCATGAAAGCAGAACTTTCAAAGCAACAATAGCACTCGGATGATGAGGTGAAAACTGCAACTCGAGAATGGTTATCGGGCATTGAACGGGATTTCTTGCAGAAGGCATAAAAAAACTTGTGCCACGCCATGACAAATGCTTAAATAATGGAAGTAATTAGATTGAAAAGTAGATTTTTAATGAAACTTTAAGATTCATTCAAAATATTTAATAAAGTTGTTGTAAAATTTCTATCTTGTTTTGTTTTCTCAAGCAGTGCAACTAACTTTTTGACTGATCCTCATATATATCAACAGCCAAACATTAAGATGCCTATTATGCACTAAGATCCCACTAACTGCAAGCTTAATTCTTACTGAATCAATAAAATAAACTTTTCCATCCCCAAAAATTATTCAATTGATTCATCATCATCAATTACTCTTGGCGAAATAATGGGATTTCATTTATTAATAAACAACAAATAAATAATTTTGAACTACAAAACAGTATTATTTGTAAGAATACTTTCAATTTCCAAATAAAATAGCAATTTTTATTCAACAGTTCACATCACAATGTAATCAAAACACAATGTAACATTAAATTTATTTTATTTTAATTAAATGAATTAGGCACATATTTTGCTACAGCAAACTTTAAAAACATTCCAGCGAATCTGAATCCTAATCCTTGGTCAGATGACACTACCAAAAATCCTTGATTACTGAAGACCATAAAGAAAAAAATCCTATTTTGCTACAGCAAACTTTAAAAAAAAAAAAAAAAAAAAAAAAAAAAAAAAATTCTTATGAATCTGAATCCTAATTGTTGGTCAGATGACACCATCAAAAATCCTTGATTACTGAAGATGACAGTCTAGGAGAACTGAAACTATTTTTGGAGCAACTGATTTGAATTCAATTTTTCTTCTGAACAGAAGTGATGCTATATTTAGTAGTTTATTAATTATACCATAACAAGAGGTTTTTGTATAGTACTGTTCAAAAAATGAAACAGAATATTCAAGAATTTGAAAATTTATCCTTAAACTTGTAATAAAAACATTTTAGAAATAAATAGCTCACCAGTAATACTTACAACGAAAGACTTTTTTCACATAAACTTCTAAATTCTGAACAAAAGCCTTTCTTTGAACTATTTTTTTCTCTGGAAGAATGTAGTTTTCTAAAACACAGACAGAAAAAGTAATGCACTTTTTGTATGGCTTAAGTACCATTATACGTTATATCAACAACAATAGCAACCAGAGTTTCAAGGCTTGTACAACATAGAATTCAGATATAATGAATCGCACACAGTCAATGGGAATATTGATTAAATCAAGGTTCACTGGAACAAACATACAATAAATGTTAGATTACATTATTATTTACAACAAAGTATGAAATTTAAAAACACATAGTATATTATTCTTCCCATAAAACAGCCATTTGGAATCCCAGGCATCCTAACAATCTTTCCTATAAAGATAGGTCATGTATATTACACAAGATAAAGAACCAATTATACACCCAGGTGTTGTGGTAAATTTAATAATACTTTCAGGAGGCATAATTTCAAAGAGTATATAACAAAAACACTCATAATTTAAAAAATTAAATTATAAAAGCATTTATAATTTAAAAAATAATAATAATAACACTCAGAGGCTTATTCTCAATATAAAAGGTGCAACTTAAGCACAGAAAAAAGGCAGGGTATACTGGCATTTCTTGTTGCTTCCTTGAACACAGTTGTGAAATTTAAGAATCTCAGTAGTAAAATGTTGTAAAATTTATACCAATAATAAACCAAAAAGAAGAGATTATTCAGAATTTGATTTTTACCATGCCTGCATTCAGATCAACAATAACCTGAATAGAAGAGAATATATAAATCTGATTCTGGTAATCTAAAATTGGATTAAAGATAAATGTTAACTTACCCATGTATAGCACCAAAAAAGAATGTGTATTATCTTACCTGTGAAACATGTATTTATTCAGAACATTAATGTTGTAGTTTAAATTTAGACACATATTTGGTCACAAGAAACCTAGATAACAACAGTCACATAATGACATTTGCTAGTGTATTGTAGAAGAACAGGACACTGAAGGAAGTGAAATCTTGAAATATCGCAAAAGTCACTAATTAAATGTCATTATCATGCTTGCAGGGTACCGTAGGATTCGATAAGAATAAAAATGTCCAGTTATTTTTTTAACAGAATGCACTGCTAGGTCAACATTTTCAGAGATAAGAAAATAAGAATATGAAGAAGCACAAGGACTTGCTGAAAAAAAATTGTGTCGGCAAACCAGCATGGAACGAAAAGTAACTAGACATGTCTTGCAGCCTTCATGCATGCATGCAAGTGTAATACTCAAAAGGTAAGAGAGAGAGCTTTAAAACCAGTCTCTTTATAATCCTTTCAGCCAATGTCCATTGTCACAGTCAAAATGGAATTTGGAGTGTAAATGCACAACCCACCACATCCTCATCCCCATGTTGTAACCATTTATGGCTCCTTGTTGAGCACATACCATCACTACCTCTTTACTCTTGCTCCCCCATCCCTGTAACATCCTATACCAATGACTTATGTAAATCATTTACTTCCCTACTCCTAAATTAAATTACAATCAAGTTATTATTCGTAACTTGATTGTAACGTGAAAGCATGATAAGATAGCTGTAATGCGTGCAGGTTCAGGCCTCGTCCACAAATTTTAAACTTAAAATTAATCTTAGCACAAACCAACACTTCTCACCTCCCAGTCATTCTTCCCCCAATCCACTATCCCTTTATTTATGACCAATGACACATGGTACCTACAGGGTTCGTACACATTTCCTTACATGAAAATTAAGGACTTTTAAGGACCATCAAAGAAAAAATTAAGGACCTAACAGCAAAAAAAAAAAAAAAAAAAAAAAAAAAAGAATAGAATAAAGCAATTATCCATACAACCGACTTCATGCTTGTAATTTCGTGTATTATGCACTATTATTAAATTTAATTTAATACTTACCATAAAACAATTTTGAAAATTAAACTAACTCCCTACAAGTTATGAAGTAGATAACATTAAATTAGGAACATAATTTCTTGAAAAACATGTATAAGTGTATTTTACACTAATAACAGTCACTATTTTAGAGATTTACATGATTATTATTTAACTTATTTGATATTTATTTAAACACAGTCAACTACTATTATAATGACAATGTAAGAATATTTTGCAGATTAAAATAACTGATTTGTAAACATACAATTTATTTCCTTGGTTTTTTTGAAAGATACTAGAATAATAAACTGTACAATAAAAGATACAAAACATTTGTACTTTTTTTAAATCTGAAATCTTTTCAGCTATTTTAACATCTAATTTATTTATGTCTATTTCCTTTTCTTTAACTATTCTTCTAAGTTCATTTGCTTTGATAAACAAATCAATGTTCCTGCTGGTCTCAGATTCATCTGCTAAAGCATCTACTTCTTCATTAATATCTTTAATGTCCCTTTGAAGAAATTTTTTCTTCTGCTTCATATAATCAATTTCTTCTCAATAATATTTCTTTTCCTCTTTGAATTTTCAGATTTAGTTAAAGATTTTTGTTCTTCTAAATACTGAACTTCTAAATAATAAATAACGAACTCCACTTCTTGCAGAAGCTGCTGCTGATCTCATTCCTTTATTAATTTCGATATTAAGAACACCTCCAGAAAATTTTATGTAATCAAATACTGTGCGTTGAAAAATGTATGATGAGTCACTTAAATTTTCAAATTTCAATTGCTTTATTTACAGAGAAGCCCCTTTGCACAGAGGCCTGTTCATGTGACAAGATAAGAATACTTGTCACAGTGAATACTTGAATAGTGAAAATATACATTTTTTACTATATATATATATATATATAATTTATTTCCTAAACAATATTGATTAATTGATTATATTATCTCCTAAGTTTAATTAAAGTAGAATTATTTTAAAAGAGTGAATCCATACTGGTAAGTTATATTTTGAAAGATGTATATATACAGTACAAAGTCCGAGACCCGGACATCCAATATCTGGAATGATCTAAAATCCGGACCTCAAAGCCACCACCAACCAATTTTTTAGGGCTTTTTTGAAGGAAAGAGGTATGCTTTATGCACGCGCATTAGATTTTTTTCCTCATCATAAAAAAACATGCCAGAAATCCCGATTCTTAATCTCAGTTTGGCGCTAAATAAAATATCTCATTATTGAAGAAATAATTATTTTAGCATAAATTTGTATGATTAGTAACTTGACTCCACAGCTGCGTATCTGCTTGGCATAATCTCAAACCGAAACATTTGTTAATTTTACACCAACTAATATTTTATATCCTTGATGCCGAAATCGCGAATCATTATTTATTGTATTTTGCTTTCATCACCGCATGTTTATCAACGGATGAGTACTTGAGTGATGAGTCATGCTGCGACGCCAAATAACAGAGTATTATCAGATTACAGATTTAAGTTTAATGCGCTAAAATGTTGACAATGGGAGATTTAGCAGAAATTTCTTTCCTTATCCTAAAAATAGATTATGTTAATGATACTCATAGCACAAACAATTATATTTAGTGCTATTTGAATTAAGAATAACTAATTTGTTATTCACATAAAGGAAGAACCAGTGCCAGATCTCGCATAGCCGCACCAGGCGGCAGAATTTAGCGAAGTTAAACAGAAGTTTTTCATTGCGATGACAATGCCCAATCATCAATCAATTAGCGGAGGGCGAAATCTGTAGTATGGCTCTAAATCCAGAAAATACAGCTACCGATAGTGAAGAAAGTAACAGAGAGGTTACTGAACAAGAAAAAATTTTGATTGACAAGTTATTCGGAATTCTCGACTCAGCAATTACAGAACTTGAACAATTGAACTTAATAACTGAACAAGAAATTATATGTCTATAGTATTAGTCTAAAGTATTAGCAGAGAAAACAAATCAAACAACTCACATTGAAAGAAATGTTTAATAAAGTAAACATATAAATATTAAGCTCTTTTCTTTTGTAAATTTTGATACCCTTTAAATCATAAATGCTTCATTATTTCATAAATCACGATTTCATATTTTCAATTTTATAATTTCTACGTGCCATCTTAGTAGATTTAAAATAATCTAATATCCGGAAAAATCTCAAATCTGGGATCGCCGAAGTCCCAACGAGTCCAGACCTCGGACTTTGTACTGTATAAATATATATATATATATATAATACGGAATGTATATTTTCAGTTAAACTTCTACCCAATACCTTTAGTAATTCATGAAAGTTAATTTTGCGTCTAGTTAATTCAGGAAAATTAGTTTCAATTAGTTGTTTTCAGCTTTAAAAATATTAAAAATTTTTTAATTAGTTAGTTATTTTCAACTAATAATTGTATCGCCATTTAGCAAAAATTATGCATTACTATCAACAACATAGGTTTAAACCAAATACTTAATTGTCTATTGAAGCTTCAAAACGTATTTCCGAACTGCACTTTTTCTCGGCTAGCGTTACCGAATTTGCCCTTGGTGACCTAAAATCGAAATGGAGCAAACAGATTTCCCGCGAAATCGATAACAAACCCTCTGCAGAAATAAACTTATAATCCCGATATCCCATACATATAGTATGTGCAAAAGAGAATAAACTCCATAGAAGGTGATAAAAATTAATTTATGGCTTAATTGAAACAAACACGGAAATTAAGCTAAGCAAAACTGTGTAAAAACAAATTGAAATGATAAAACGAAACTTAATTTTCATGTGAATTTTCAGTGCTGACTCTCCCATTCTAGAAATTTCAATTTGTGTCAGACAAAGACCACATTTAAGGATTGCCATCCATCAATATCCAGTCTTAGTAGTCAGCTTGATGAAGCCACAGTTTATTGAAAATGCACTTTCCAGGCATCTCGTTCCTATTGGCGTCGGAAGGGTTGTGGCCTTCCAGCTTGGGATTGCTATAATTTTGGCAAATATTTTCAGAATCCCCCCCTTTTTTTTCTCGAGCACCTTCATCATCACTTTCGCCTCTTAAAGAACTTCCGGCTTCACGCTTTCGTCACAATCTGCCTAAATTTATGGATAACACCTGTTTCGAAAGATTGGGTGAATAGCCAATCAGACACCGATACTTTCGTTCGGGTAGCTAATTGGTTTTTTTTAATCATTTGCAACGCAAATCCGCCAACAGATTGGTTAAGAGCCGTGTAATTTTAATTCCATATTCATGAGAAATCGTAATTCACACTTAGAATGGCAATCATTAGAAATGATAAGAAATGTCAAATGAGCAAAATTAAGGACCGTTTATTCATTTTGGCCAAAATTAAGGACTTTTAAGGACCAAAAATCATTTTTGAAAAAATTAAGGACTTTTAAGGACCGTACGAACCCTGACCTATGCATTATATTACAGATTTTGTATTAAGCATAAATTAACCTTAATTACCCAACTTAATTTAATTAATTAAACATTGAGGTTAATTAAAACATGTCTCAATTTAACACACACAATTTTATAAACCAGCGATTCTCAACCGGTGATAAGCATATCACTAGTAGTACACAAGAGAAAAATAGGTGGTATGCAAAGAAACAAAGTATTTTTAACTATTAAATTCACACATCTAGTGAAGAAATAGAAAAATTGATAGAAATTTACTGTGATCGAACTCTAACTGAAGATTTAAAAAATAACACGCTTATTAACTTTTGGCTGGACCAAAAAAAAAGAATTTAAAGGCTTTTCAAGTAAAGCTGTTAAATTTTATTGCCTTTTTACACAACCTATTTGTGTGAACAAGTATTTTCTTCCATGTTTTATTTGAAAAAGAATTACAAAACAAAATTAAAATTGCATTTTAATTTATGGTTAAAGTTAAAAAAATAAGACCAGACACAAAGAATCTTCTCTTTTAAACAGGCCTAAATTTCACACTAAATTTTAGAATTAAAGTATTATGACTTTGATAATTAAAATGGTAACCAATTTTAAATTTATAATTTTTTATGTGTGCATATTTAATGCAAATAGCCAATAGGTTGTGCTAATAGAAAAATATATATTTTTTAAATATTTCTACTCAGAAATTGAAAAATAATCATTGTAAAATGGAGTGGTGGTACTAAAATTTTTCAATTTTTGTTTAGATGGTATGCTTTACTCAAAAGGTTGAGAACCGATGCTATAAACAAACAAATAGGCAATGAAACATAATTATAAATTTGCCTCAGTTGGAAAATCTCAGTAAAATGAATAAATTAAAAATATTTTATTACATAATAATTTACAAAATAAATTATCATCTAGAAAAGAAATACAATATTAAAATCTGCATTTGTTTCAAAGATTTTCCTATCAAAATTACACTCTCTCTTCACATCTCCCAAAAAGGGAAAGTTGTTTAATATTCCCATCTTCTATTTCATGTTTTATTACAAATTTCTTTGTTATCTCTTATACATTATACAACAATTTTACTTATAATTCTACTAAAATTACATATCTAAGAACAAAATTTATAACAGTACTTTGAATACTGAAGTGCACTGCTACATCTAGAAGTTGTTATCACAACAATTAAAGAATATAAAACTAAGCAATGGAAAATGCGAAAGCTGAAATGTAAGAAGAACAAATGAAATATTTAACATCAAACCTTAGTCAAGCCAATGAAGATCTTACAACACTTTTAGTAGCCAACAAGAAATCAGTGATTCTGTACTTAAAATTTAAAACATCCTATATGCAACTTTCTTGTCATAGTAATCAATCACTTATTCTATATTTTCATTGCATCTGAAATTGCAAAGATATTACTGATTTTAAGTAGCTGAAATTTCAAAATTCAAATGATTTGTTGTATTTCATTTTCATTAACAATGTAGAACACTTCTTCAGCAATAGAACACTACTTCATTATCAAGTTGTATCTTGAAAGTCGACAAATTTGTATCAGTAGCTAAAGGATTCAAAAACTGTTAGACCTGGAAATTTTATTTCATCCTTACACAATATCTTAGTTACAAGTCTCCATGACAAAATACAAACTGCATTCAACTGTACTTTGTAACAACCTTGCTTTTAAAAACTGCTGATAGTGTTACATAAAATTTCATTCCATGAATACGGATCCAACTACACTGCATCACAAGTGTTCAGTTTCAGTCACAGTTGAAAGATTTTATTTTTAGACTAGATAATATTCACATGAGCAACAATCCTCTGTACTTAATTTTAAATGCCAGAATTATTTTCATACTTAAAGGCTGTAATTCACTTGTGTAAATTGCTGAGGAAGGAGTACACTTTCAGAATTGAGATTTGAATTGAAAAGTGCATTAAAGTATTCTTTCTAAGGTGTGCCTTTTTAAAGAGAAACTAAATTGCATTCATATTACACACAAGAAGATCTACGAAAATGCCTAAGCAACCCATCTTTCACTAAGATTTGAAACATAGGCTGAACTACCAACATTCAGCAATGTTGGTAGTTCAGCCTGTGTTGTTTTTTGTTTAAAGTTTCTTGTTGAAGAATCATAAATGTTACTAAGATTGTCACAGTACATATATGTTTAAATATTTGAACAGTCGGAATAATTTCATTACTAAACATAATGCACAAAACATTACAGTCGCTTTTGAAACACAGACATTCAAAACTACATTGAAAAAAGATAAGTCCATAGACTGTCTCTTTTCTAGATAGAATAATTATTTTGTAGACAAAGACAGCATAAAAGTCGACATATTCTCACTAAGGATGTTACTTTTTCCTTACTTAGGCAATTGAAGATATATATATATATATTATTGTACTAATGAATCTGAAAATGATTATTAAGTGTTAAAATTTATTTAATTAACACAATACATATGATTTAGACTAGAATTCACTCTTAAATTTCCATCAGGTTCAACATTTCAGGGGACATAATTTAAAAAGATTAAATAGTAATAAATTTTTTATTTAAATTTTTTAATAAAGAAAGGTGAAATAATCGTAAGACAATATAATTTTAAAATAAAAGAATATACAATTCACAATCAAATTAAAAAAAAAAAAGAATACAAACAGTCTGCTTGATGTTTCTTTGTGCAGAGATGGACACAAAAGCCATTGTTAGATTATCACTGGGACAGGCCTTCTAGCAAGGAAGCAGGCAGATATATTTTTCATGACAATTGTAACCATGGAGGTAATACGGTGGGACAATATAACAAAAGGTACTGTTGTGTGCATACGGGTGTCTAATAGATTGAGGCATACAGGTTCAATGATAGGTTACAAAATTTATTTTTATCAAGTGAAACACTTCAAAGTTCTAGAAGTTACCACAGAAATACTCGTACAGGTGTTCACAGTATTACAGAGTACAAGCAGTAGTTATACTTTAAACTACTAAGAACATTAAATATAATGCAATGCGCAGCACGAAAGAGAAAACTAACCCAGAGATATCTCAGTTCACACTAAACTAACAACTCGCAGCAACAATAACCGAGAGCAGATGCTCTCTCTGGCCTTATTAGTTTTCAACTGGCCAACGAAATATTTCTAGTACTTTCTCCTTCATGAAATTACTGGAAGGCAATATGAGGGTTGAGTTATGGTTAACAGCTAATATAGTGATGAATTAGATTTATTCAGTTACAATACCTAATATAGCAATAAAAGGACTGGACCAGAATGTTGCCAGAGTTTGGTGAATTTTGGTGATTTTTCACCAAATTTCTTGACAAAATAAGTCGCTAAAATTGTTGTCACCTTGGTGATATCTCGCCAAATTACCGAGATACCCATTTACTCAATGTTAAATGGATTTGCCCCTGTATTCTTACTTTTCGGGCAGAGCTCATCTCTTTAGATTTTTCATGTTACATTATACAACAATTTTACTTATAATTCTACTAAAATTACATATCTAAGAACAAAATTTATAACAGTACTTTGAATACTGAAGTGCACTGCTACATCTAGAAGTTGTTATCACAACAATTAAAGAATATAAAACTAAGCAATGGAAAATGCGAAAGCTGAAATGTAAGAAGAACAAATGAAATATTTAACATCAAACCTTAGTCAAGCCAATGAAGATCTTACAACACTTTTAGTAGCCAACAAGAAATCAGTGATTCTTTACTTAAAATTTAAAACATCCTATATGCAACTTTCTTGTCATAGTAATCAATCACTTATTCTATATTTTCATTGCATCTGAAATTGCAAAGATATTACTGATTTTAAGTAGCTGAAATTTCAAAATTAAAGAGGCAATTGGATAAAACATGTATTATAATAAACGAAAGAAAGCACACTATCAAAATATTATTAGAAATTAATGAATGACACATACATAAAAGAGCATTAAAATCAAAGAAAATACAAAGCATACCATAAACTTCCAGCAAAACACGATCCACTTTTTCCATTGAAGATGGACTTAATTCTGGCAATTCTTCTATCGCTAATGTAGGAGACATTAAGCATCCCTAAGCAAAAAATTATTCAGTTACTTTTTCATTGGGCTAATTAAGAAGTTAGGCATACTAAAACTATACATAGTAAACACTTGCTGAATGTGGGGGTTACATAACTAATACATTGCACATATGACAAAACTGAGTTTCACAAAGTTAACTTTCTATAGATCGGTTTAGGTATAGCTCAGATTAAGAAAATATGTACAATTTACACACACCTAAACATTATTGTAATTAAAAGGGGAAAATGAAGCAAAGGTTAGTTGACAGAATTTCTATTACTGCCTAATAAGTAGGTACACGATACAATTATTTTCTTAAATAGTTAGTGATTTTTGCTTGAGCTAATGTCTGATACAATTCATTAATGTTTCACGATAAGAGTGCAAAATTTTTCAATAATTCTCATGAAGTACCTTTTTCTTTATTCATTTGGAATAATCTCCATTATAAATCCAGACAATTTTCTGTGCTTTTTTTAACAATGAGTTTAACTTCTTGTAAATTAAAGTTTCTTTATCTCCTTCACTATCGCTGCTTTCACCATCTATTGGTGCTATAAGATCATCCAGTTCTTCATTTGCAGTTTCATGATTTTTTAGCTTTCTTCTTCCGTATCTGTAAACCGTTTGCCACCTATTGCTTTGCAATCTGCACAATTTCCTTGGCTTCATTTTCAGTCTATGAAAATTCTTTGAAACTGTTGACAACTTCTGGCCAGAGCTGATGTCAGCTAGCATTAATTGTTGATGAATTCCTTTGTTTCCCATGTGAGTTTCATCATTTCTATGCAGTATAAAGCACTGAATTGCTTCCAAAATGACATTAATGTGTCATGTATTCCTTTATCTAGTGCTTTATTTATACAGATGTAAACATGTCTGACATAATAAACTTTAAATGCTTTATGGTTGCTTGATCCATTGGTTGGATTAAGGATGTGATGTTCTGTAGAAGAAATAAAACCTCTACATTTAGATTACAATGTTCTAATAGGCATTCACCACCTAGGCTTCACCACTATGTCCTGGAGCATTATCGAGAATAAGGAGAACTTTAAAGCTCAGGTTTTCTGTTCTAAGGAATGTTTGATGAATGCCTTTTCAGTCATGATTAAAAAGGATTATCACAATGCAGCCAGTGCTCTGCAGCATACCATGTAAAATTGAAATTCCCATGGTGGACAAATTAATTGGAGAAAATTAATAAAATGTGTATACACAAAATCATGTTCCGCAAGGGTTTACTACCACAGTACTGTTCCAATGTTTAGAAATTTTGGACATTTCTCAAAACTTAAGAAATTAAGTGAAACTGATTTTCATACTGAAAGTCCTAAATTTTTGCTCATATTTTTAAATAAGTTTATTAAAATAGTAACATACATATATATGTAAGGTGTAAAGTAAAATTCTAACTAAATGCAAAGTTAATTTTCAATAACACCTTAACTTTACATTTTAATTTGGGCATTTTTATCTTCTATCCTAAAAGCAGTAACTGTTTTCAAAATTAATCCATGTCATATGATTCTTGAATAATACTTATGACACAGACACTTGCATATAGAATTCAGCAAATAAAGATTTCAATTTGGCAGTTGAAACTTTTTATTAACCAATAACGATTATATGTGAACTAAAACCAAATCATTTTGAACCAAGCATTCATCTTAGACACGTGACATTCCTGCTATAGCTTGCTGTCCTGCCAACATATCACGGCTTACCTCTCTTTCATCAATTATAAAATCATAACAATGGGGGGGGGAACAAATATGATAAAGCACAGATTGCACCCACTTTTAATAACTTCTAAATTAGGGGTATTCAACCATGGGCCACAAGTGGCCCGCTGAAGGCATTTTAGTGGTCCCACATTTGAATTTGAAAAAAATTGAAAAAAATTTTATTTCAGGAAAAAATGCCTTGTCAGTTTTTTGTCATAAGAAAAATTCATTTTCTCTAATTCTTCATATTTAAAACATTTTATTGACATGCTTGATATTATTTGAGATAAAATTTTCTAAAAATAGCGAGTTTTTCAAAAATTTTACTTTATCTTATGCAATTTTAAAAATTAAAAATTTGACTACACATAAAAACTCAATTCCATAAAAAGGGTAGATTCTTATCTTGTTGTAAATGTGGTTCATTTCATTTGGTCTAAAGGACTTAAATACAGGTAATTTCAACAATTCACGAGTGATTTGGAAGCTGAATATGGTGATGTTGTGTATAACATGGAAGTGCGTTGGTTGAGCCGAGAAAGGATGCTGGAGTAAAAAACACAACTGGCTTGGTTGTTAAAACGTCACTTTTACTTTGAACAGGAAAAATTCTTCAATGATACATTTTTGCTTAAATTGGTACAGCACTGGAGATGTTAAAACGCACCTCACAATTTCTATACACACACTCTACATTTTAGATAATAGAAAAGGAAACTTAGCGAGGGGACATGTCTTTCCTAGACAGAACAAGCAGAGGGAAAATAGATATGTAATAACTGCAGAAGTATTTATAGCTTGGAATGTCTTTTCTAATCTTGAGCAGCAACTAGGTAAAGATTTCACACTGTAGAGAAATTGTAGGCAAAGAGTGACGCAAAATGGTACAAAACGTATCGTTTAAACGGGGATGTGTTTAGTTAAAATAGAATTTAAAGGTCTGTTGCCAGCTGGTTCTATACTTTAAATTAATAACCATGATCTGGATGAATTTTTTGGAGAAGTAAAATGTAAAAAGAGAGTAAGCAAAAATTGTCGAATAGAAAAAAAAAAAACTTTGCTATAGAAAGTCTTACTTAAGTAATTAAAAAAAAACGAATATGATTAGTTAAATTTGATAAATTATTGACAATTTCATGATTTTACACTGACTTCTGAGATGTTTTTATTATCATATCATCATTTAATAATTTAGGAATTCTAAAATGGTCATTTCTGCCCTTCTTGACAGCTTGAAAATGCATTAAACAGTAAAATTAATAAATAGATAACTTAATTAACTTTGAAATAATCAAGAATAACATCCTTATGCCTGCTCATTTATTATTTTTAAATCCACAGCAATATGTAATTTATTTATACATAATAACAATAATAATAATAATGTTAAATGACTTGAAACATTGATAAATCACTGTTTAAAACACTGCTAAATCATAAAAATAAATTGAGCTTACAGCCATTTATCTTCTGTTTCCAACAGAAATACAAGAGTATTATTGTTGAACGTTTAAAATGCCGTGGTTCTAAAAACAAACATTTAATATAGAGCAAAAAGAAGAAATATACACACAGAGAGAAATGTTGTCTATGTCGTCAACACAATTAAGAGGCAATCGGCCTTTACCAATATATTATAAATAGGGTATCTTTAATGATGAGTTGAATCCAGTAAGATGGAACATACTTTTTTCCATCTAGTGCAGAGTTTCTAGAAGAGAAGTAAATGTGGCACCATCTTTTGGCAAAAATTGTAATGAGCGTGGCTGAGGACCGAACCCACAATGGAAAGACCTGTATCTTGAGGATTTCTGCCGCTCGGCTATGCTCGTCTTGAGAGAAGCTGCGAATTAATCTTGATCTGCAAAGTTCAAAATAATCTCGATGGCTTGAAAAACTAGACAAAGTTTCTACATATTTCATTTAGCTGATTTAATTCTCTGAGCTATATGGTTATTGATTTCATGAGATAAAGGGTTTTCTGACCTTTGAAAATGTTAATGATTTCTGCTAAATTTTGTCACTGTAACGTTTTTTAGGCATTTCTTGATTAGTTTGGGCTGAAGCTTGAATGAATTCGGGGAAGTCATGTTTAGTGGGAATTTCTTGTTTTACTATCTTCTCTAAATGATTGAATCTTTTTCTGTATACCTTACAACCACAATAAGAAGAAACATGATTTTCGTGACAGTAAATGCAAGTTGGTTTTTCATCTGGTTTTAATTTACAGGTATTGGATCTGTGATTTTGCCTGCACTTACAGCATCGGTATAAGCTAAGCTAAAATTATCTAATTATCTATTTCAGTTATTGTTGAAAATTGCGTTGTTCCTTAATCTTTGAACTGGATCCGGCTTATTATTTTTTGCAGACTGTTAGAGCAATTTTATAAAAGTAAGCTTGAACTTTTGATTATGTCAAATAGAATTTCCGATTCTGGAGCTGCCAAAGGATCTACAAACGAAAGTATGTTTCGATGTCCATCAAACAAAAAGTGGAATTGCTGCAAAAAAAATGGAAAAGACATGAAGAATGTGAGAGAGGTTAGTGAAAATTGAAAAAATTTCGATTGACAGTTAGTCGGTTTTCTCGGCACAGCAATTACAGGACTTGAACAGCGGAACTTTGTAACTGAAAAGAAAAATTATGTCCTGTTTATAGAATTAAAGAGAAAGTATTATCACATAAAACGAAGCAACTTAAACAACTTACATTGAAAGAAATGTTTAATAAGGTAAACAAATAAATATTAAGCTTTTCTTTTGTAAATTTTGATACCCTTTAGATCATAATTGCTCTTTATTTCATAAATTATGGTTTCATATTTTTAATTTTATAATTTCTGCATGCCATCTTACCAGATTTAAACTGATGATCTATAATCCGGAATCGCTGAAGTTCCGATGAGTCTGGATTAAAAACTTTTGACTGTATTAAGATATTCTTGAGAGATAGCTTCTGTTAAATTAGAAAAAAACTTTTCTGTGGTTGTTAACGACTGCTGCAAAATATGAAGGGATGGGCTTGAATTTCTTAGTATTTTCGACTATTTTCTTAGGACTTCCTGCGGTTTTCTTTTCTTTTCTCTGGGATTTACTTTTCTTAGTAGAAATTAGAGTAGCAATTATACTTTGACACGGCGGGTCATCTGAAGCAATTACAGGCATATCTTTGGATATAGTCAATTTTCCTTAATAATTCGAATAAGTAGAATCATTATCACTATCATATCGATAATATATCACATATCATAATCGCTCAAAGTAGCATGCCAAGGAATTTTGCCCCTATCAGGTGGTTCGCTATTACTGGCCATATCTAGGAGAAGAAGCAAAAACGATATTTACCAAAAATCAAGAAACGCAGTCCGAGAGTCATGTGTCACAATCGAATTTATAACTCAGAATGACAGAGAGAAAAGTTTACAGCGGTTATATATATAACTTTACAGCAGATCATGGTCTAACAAATCACAAACAAGACACATAAAACAACCAATCAAAAAAATAAATAAATAAAAATAAATTAAAAAATATAAACAAATAAAATAGGATTAAGTTTCAGAATGCATCGGACCTGACAAAAAAGTATAATCCTTTTAACCAATAAAAATGCGATTACAAATATCTCAACAATTATAATTAAAAACACTGTACTTTCCGTTCTGAAGTATGTTATTCATGTTTTGAATGCTAATCAAAGGAAGTCATTCTCTAAATTTACTCCATTAAAGTACAGGTAAATTATTAATAGTATTTTTCTGTTAATTACAGTAAAAGGTCTTTAATCCGGATGTCCATAATCCGGAATGATCTATAATCCGGATGTCCATAATCTTTAAATATCTATAATCCGGACCTCAAAGCTACAAACTTTCTGCTCATGCATTTTTCCTAAAGTTTTGTGCACCGAAAAATCTGTCTTCTTGCCCGCTGACTGAATTGCTTGTTTTTGTGTAGAAACTGACTTTAATTGAAATTTTTTTTTTGGATAATTTTAAACTGTATTTGTTGTTTTATGTTTTCTAAATCTTTAAATTTTAATGAGGAGATTTTGGTTTTTATTATTTTTGCCGAGCAGGCGAGTAGACAGAATTGATGAGAAATACATCTCTAATGAAATTCGAGGAAATAAGCATTTCATATTAGCAGAAAATACTGTTTCCAGTCTGTTTTAGATAGAGGAGAATGTTTATGAGTAGCACATGTGCATTAGGTAAGTAGTGCTGAATCGTTTGTGAAAAACTGTTTATTTTTTTATTTGTTTAATTTCTTTTATACATTATTTTAGATTTATTATAGTATTTGTATAGAACATGTGGCAATGATTAGATAGTTATTCAGATGATTTAATTTTTTTGCATTCTGAGCTATAAAACGAGCGATATGTAACACAGTTAAGTGAACCTATCACCAGAGTATCAATATGGTATATACATAATAGTGAATTTTAGAAAGTGCATTTATTCTATTGTTGTTTATGCATTATTGACGAAGTAGACTTAATTCAATTAAATAAGTTTAAATTAAATGCAGGATAAATGCATATAACTTAATATTCCATACAAGGAAACAATGTGGTGTACGCATCAGATTTTTTCAGTCTAAATCAAATTATTTTTCATTTATAATGTGAAATCTACCAAGCGTAAAATCTATACAATTTTAAATTGTATGTAGTTGCCATGGAGGTAAGAAAGGAAGGAGTGGCCAAACGAGTACTAGAAGTGAAGCACTGTTTCAAAGCTTCGGTCACTAAATGGGTGTTTTTTGTTTACATTCAGAAGCTCGCTCGACTGGGTTCTGATAGTATTTTGACACACGATAGTTCTATACAAATCGAAAAACTTCCGCATAAAATAAATATTCTTAGTATGATGGATAATAGCAATTTGTATAGTTTAGCGACATTTATGCAAAAATCACATCTTTGTTATTTTTAGATAACTAACAACAGTGATTTTGATTATGAATTTGTTTTATAAGCTGTTGAACTACAAAAATATAGATTTTAGCAAAAACGTTATGCTTAAAGAATGAAAAATACCTCACCATACCTTTAAAATTGTGTACATCTTTCAATACCCTTGATACAGTTGTGTCCTACTTGTGTCCCAAACGCCAAAATGTTCTAAATAAAATAAATTTTTTTCACATCTGCATATTATTGTAGCATACACTTTTTTAAAATTAGTGTAAATTACTCGAAAAATATAGGGAATGCACAGAAATTAAAGATTTCCATATACCGGAAATAAAAAATATGTTGGGTATTTAAGCATGTGCTTGCAAAAAGCATGTATCTGCCTTTAACAAAATGCATAAATATTTATTAAATTATTTGTAAATGTTTTTGAAATGAAGGATTTATTCATTCATAAACAACTGTGAAAGTACTGTGAAAAAAATCTAATTATTAAATGTATCTAAATTTATAATGATTATAAATATTATCTAAATATATAATAACCTTAACATTGAATTGTAAACATAAATTGACATCTTGTTTACAAATACGTTATAAAACTATTTAAGCAAGAATTGTTCATACTCGAAAGCAATCTGTTAAAAGGTATTGTAAAGCAATTTCTATGAGATGCGTACTTAAGAAAATAATAAAGAAGAGTTTTCAAATATGCATTATTGAAATTATGGGTAAAAAAATCTAATAAGTATAATTAAAAGAATTATTCCCCTTATCAGTCATATATTCCTCTTATATAAGTCAGTTACAAGTTTTAAATAATATTTTAAAAATAATCCTTATTTTATTCCCTTTCAGAAATATTCAGAGAAAGTTAAGTACTATTTGAAGTATTTCGCTATTAAATTAAAAGGTGCTCTAATTTGAAATGGAACGAATAGAGCATTAATTATAAATTGACTTACAGTTTTCAATTTAAAAGATGCCTCAGAAGCTAAAAAAATCATGTCATATTTAAGAAAGCATTTCAGGAAACACTTCTATAAGTAGAAAAGAAATAATGCATAATTTCAATAATACAATAGACTTTGATCTTAATTTTTGTAATCCTTAACCAAACCAAATCGAATTACCTTAAATTTTTTTCTAATGTAATTAACGAAAACTTGTGAAAATATTTCAAATTAATCCATTCTGAGCAAACTGTTCTGTGAAAAGTATAGCATTTAACTCTGTTCAGAATGAAATGTTGTTCAAAAATGTATTCTTTTCATATACTTAGGCCTGTGAAGTATTGTAGAAAAAGAAAGTGTATACATTTATATGCATATTTACGACACAATTACAAAATATTTACATCCAATCGTGTCAAAACCCGTTGATCTCAACAGTAAATTACCCAATGTTTTGGTCACGAAAGAAGGGATCGCCACTGCTTCAAAGCAGGGTATGGGGAAACCGGTTTAGGGCCACTCCATCTAACTTCTTACCTCCGTGGTAGTTGTATGGATTGTTGTTTTTCTACTGTACTGCTAATACTTCTTAATACATGAGAATTCCAATATATTAAACAGAAATAATAAATTTGCCAACCTCACATGTCTTTCCAAGGTTTTCACATCTTTCGCATGTTGATGCACACTAAGGAAGAAAAATCAGTTAAGTTTTGTTTTCCAACTCAATTACATCAATAAACTAATCAAAAAATTAAAAGTTAATCACAAATACACTTTACAACAACTGTATAATAAGACCTATTCCCTAAATTAGATGATTATAATAGTACTTAAATTAGATGATTATGATTAGAAAAAGACCATATGTGATGCACTTTATTTATAACAGCAGCATACAAATATTATTGAAAAACTTTTATATTTATAGCATGTGAAAATTAACTTTTACATCACAAGAACATTCCTTTAGCAGAAAAAAAAAATCCCCTCCCCAATTTTTTCCGACTAAAGAATTGTGTTAAATACTTCAAAAATGTGACTTGTGTTCAACTTCATCTAGTTTACTGCTAATAAAATATACATTAAAATGTGTCAGTTCTTATATATCAAAGGTTACATATATTCTTCCATTAATTTGGAATTAGATGTTGCACATTCAAGGATTTCATGCATTGTTTATCATCACAAATGACAAATCTGGCATGTTTTTTGTGTGTACCCCTACAGTGCAATTTTTATCATATGCTTACAAGATTTTGATAAAAATGAAGAAGACATGCCACAGCTGCTTCTTCATAGTTTGATGAAACCTGATAATTTGACACTTGCAAAACATTTATATGGAAGGTGAGCAGTATAAAAAATACATCCATTTTTTTATTGCTTATAAATTCACTTTCAAAGAATCATATTGCTCTACAGATAAACTCCAGTAAATGCATACACTAAATAGCACCTTACATTACTGTTAAGTAAATTTTCTAATAAATGAAGAAACTGAGCATGATGCAGTTTTCCATCACTGGTAGGATTTCTTTTATTATACAGCAATGTTTCAATTACAATTTTGTGAATGTTTCACAATTCAAGTTTTCTGCAATATACTTGCAAACTTAAATAAAACATATTTGACACGGTCATATGCAATAAGCATAATTTTTAACTAAATACACATAAATAAGAACTACCAGCATTATAGATGCTCTCTCTCAAAGACTTCAGTTCTAATCCTACCACGTGTCAGTTAATAAACACAGACTGCTCTGTGTTTGTAAAAATATTACAAGAAAAGATTTAATTACATAGTTTTATTTATTTTTTGCCTAGCTTAAAATTAATTTTTTCAAGAGCCTTGCAATTCAAAATAACAAAATTTCTTTCACAGTACTGTTCGCTTTATAATATTTAATATCTCAAATACCATTTTACCTACTAATCAAGTTTAAAAAAATATATATTATATACAACATTAAATATATTCATTAAACAGTAAAATTCAAAATACATACCTGTAAATCACAGGAACTAAAAGAATACCGCCTTTTCCCTGAGAATTAAATAACATTATGAAATTAAATCATCTGAAGTAAAAAGAGTACACATGATATTACTATTCAGGTTAATCCAAGAATCTTTCTTTTATTATAATATGCTTAATAAAAAGTTATGAAATTAAATTAATATACGCTGCAAAATATAATGAAATGTTAATACGAGGGCTATCCAGAAAGTAGATTACGTTTTGGAATAAAAAATAAACAAAGTATAGGAAACAAATTTTATTATATACAGATGAAAGCCACACTCAAATACTACTTTTCTACATAGTCACCATACAAATTAAGGCATTTATCGTAGCGATGTACGAGCTTGGAAATTCCTCGTCGAAAAATTCGGCCGCCTGCGCCTTCAACCACTTCGTTACCTCTTCTTGCCTTCCATCTGCACAAAACTGTGTGGTAACCAAGCTTTTCGCTGATGATTTTGTGCAACAAACTTCGCGAAATTTGTGGAAAACTCAAAGAAAGTTCCGTTATTGTGAAATTTCGATTTTCACGGACTTTAGCATCGACTTTTTCGAGAAGTTCGGCGGTCACTATGCTGGGGTCTCCCACTTCGATCTTCGTCGTGAACATTGGTTCGGCCATTTTGAAATCTTATGACCCACTGACGCACTCCACCTTCAGTGATAATGTTGTCCCCATACACTTCACGAAGCTGCCGATAGATTTCTATCGGTTTACAGTTTTTTGCAGTCAGAAAGAAACCTTATTACTGAGCGCACCTCGCAGCTCGCGGGATTTTCAATTAACGCAGACATTTCAAACCGTCAACAGTATCTGAAACGGAGCACAGCACGAAACCTCTCATTAGCACGGCTAGCTAGATGCAGACTGAGCTGCGCAACGCTCTGACCCCAAGATGGCCGCGCTAGCCCCGCCCCTAGCGGACACAGACGGAAACGTAATCTACTTCCTGGATGGCCCTCGTACTTCTTACTGTTTCATATAACATTTAATGGCTAGTCTTGGATATTGGTGCAATTTATTATATGAGCAAGAATTTTTAAGAATACAAATAATAACTAATACGAATAATAACTAATAATAATAATGAGCAACTTTGAGAAATGAAAGTTCATCTTCATATTCATAAAAATATGTCATTATATTGCATGTTATAAAGATATAATAATGTTTAAAAATAAATCAATAATTTCATATTAGTATCACTCAATGCATAACTAAGTAAATAAATAAAGAATAAAGTAAAAAAAAAAACTATATTATTATGAGCTTATTTGTTTTATACCTTCTCGGTTTTCAAGAGAATCACCATCAACTTGTACATTAGGAGGTAATGAAAAATAGCCATAAAACTTTGCAAAACAGGATTTTATCAAATTAGCTACATCAGAACTATTAACAGACTCAGCAATATTCTTTTGACTAAAAGGATCTAGAATATAAAGTAATTTTATTCATTAATCAAAGATAAATAATATATCTTCCACTAACAGGAACAATCTGAAGTAGATAAAATTATTATTAACAGGATTTATGAGTAACATACAGTAGAAGCACTTACTATTATATCCCTAACATTTGTGAAAGACTATATTTAAAATGTTAGGTAAGCTTTCTGAGATATTCTTACATAATACACGGAAAAATATTCTACTCTAAATGTAGTTATGGCACTAACATATATGAACATAACATATATGAGTTTACAATGTGGCATATCAAAACATTCTCATTAATTTATCAGCTATTAGAAATTTGAAATAATATTTTAATGTCAAATTATCTTTGACACATCATGTAATATTTAAATGTATTACAGCAGAATTTAATATAAATCATAAATATGAAAGAAACAAAAATGGCATATAGTACTTGACAGGAATAAATAAAAAAAGTAATTTAATCTATTATATATATATATTAAAAAAAAAAAAAAAAAAAAAAGAATGAAAAAATGAGAAGATGTGAGGGAAAACTAATTACTAATTAGAAAAATTATACCAAACTTGATAAAAGTGCAATTTATTAACTTATCTTCTCTCCAGTGGCCGAGCACTTTCAGATTTAACATTTGATGAGATAACTAAATTAAATTATCTCTTTAATGTTTCATCATCAATAGCACTGCTCAGGGTACATCTGCATAGAGGGAGAAATATCACAAATATCTGATTCCATTTCAAGGCTACTGGGTGGTAGCTTGCAGAGAATATATGTTTTTGAGAGCAAGAGGCAAGAAACATGGAAAATCAATTGTGCTCTAATCAACTGAGAGCAAGAGGCAAGAGACATGGAAAATCAATTGTGATTCTAACAGCGGATCTCCCAGTTGCCATCTAGAGTACCATGAAAGCATACCTAGCGGCATCCAAGAATTCTGTGCATTTTTTAGCACAGAGAGACGCATGAAATACAGCTGACCAAAATCAAGTGATGAAAAACTGGTCCATCACATTTTAGTTCATGCACAACAGTTAGGCTTTTGGAAGTGAGGAATACATAAAATCAACTGCACTCTCATAAAAATTCAAATCATGAAGCTTCCATTTGCTAGTTGGGTATACTCAGCACAAAAACATGCATGAAAGAAAGAGATAATTCTTTACAGCAACTTTCACTAAACACTGTATAAACTATCACAACCATTTAACTTATTGCAATAATAGAATTTATGAATGCTTCCTGATTACTCACACCTCACAACAATGTATTGTCATGAATTTTGTACATATATAAATAATTTTAGTGAAATTAGATTTTTTTTTTTTTTTTTTTTTTTTTTTGTATAATGTAACATGAAAATCTAAAGAGATGATGCTCTGCCAGAAAAATAAAAATACAGGGCCAGGTCTATTTAACATTGAGTAAATGGCTATTTTGTTATATTGGCGAGATATTGTCAAGCTGGCAATGATTTTGGTAACTAATTTTTGTTAACTAATTTTGATTTTGGTAACTAATTCTGAAACAAGGATCTAGCCCCTCAGATGCTAGTTTCCTCCCTGATCATTTGCGCAGATTCACGCCCAGCATATTTATATCAGGGAGCTCGGCATGCAAAAAGGAATCAGCTGGCACCGACGCCACGCCATTAAGTTACGAACTTGGTGCACATTACTCAGCGCAAATTAATTTCTTTTATTAGTTTTTCTACAGTATTTTTTTTTTATTCGGATACATGTTTACATGTTTGATATTGATTTTTGGTTGTTTCTCATTTTCTGTCAAATAATATATTATTTTGATTTGTGTTTTCCCTTTTGCACCGTTTTGTTTAGTTGTTTAATTATAAATCTATATATAAAAGAATTCCTGATATTTATTCATTCATTCATCTGTACATCATCGCCCAAAGCTATTACAGATACAGATATCAAAACCTAGGAGCTCATTTCTGGTCTACTGAAGGCATCATTTAAAAAGAGATTTTTGAAAATTCGGCATCCGGGGGGGGGGAGGGCAAAACATGTTTTTACATTTTTTCATATAAGGAAGAAACAGATGTACACAAGAGTCTTGCTTTAAAATGCATGGAACATGAATACCTAAAAACCAATTTCAGAAGTTCGCCCCACCCCCAAAGACCCCTACCCTTGAGAATTCAGCCCCCAAGGGGGCTGTGGTAATACAATTTTTATTAAGGTAGTACAATAATTGAGACAGATCGTTAATAATCATAACAATAGAATAGAATAAATATTATTTTGTCTTTCATTGCTATGGGTTACCAGACTGGCAGCGTGGAGTTGTAATAGGCAAGTCGCCACAGGGGCAAAAAATTTTTTTCACATATTCCTTCATACTTTAGATATCCGTAAGATTCAGTGGTGGATAAGGCCAGTGGGCTGGTGCGGTTTCGGGCTGATCAAGAAATTCGAACAATCGAATTGACACAGATGACTCGGCTAGACAGCCCTGCGAGGGAGGGTATGTGCGTAGAATTAATACTTTCTCTGAAAAGTATAACTTCCAATGGTATTCAAAATGCACAGATACGACAAATGGCAAAATCTATTCTGGATAAATATCAACTTTTAGAATAATTTGTCTGCTCACGTATATTTGAAAATATTTCAACATACTGAGCCAGTAATGAAATATTTGCAGACTAAAGGATTAGATTATATCCTAGCATATAATATAGTTAGGGAGGCTGCAAGCTCTTTAAAAGCAGTTCTAGAAACTGCAATTTAATATTTAATGCATCAAAATTGTTTGCAACGGATTGCAATAATAAACTAGAAAGGCTGGGTTGTGATATAATTATAAAAGAAGAGCTACCTGTTAGAAGATACCAAAAAAAAAAAAAAACAAATGGTAAAAAAGTGAAACAAATGGATGATGAAGAATCGGCCGACTATAATTTCAATTGCTCTATCAAACAATTCAAAGTTATTGTCTTTAGTTTTACATTGGAAAATGCCATTTAATTGATGGAAAGTGGGTTTAAAGGGCATAGGAAGTTGTATGGGACATATCACTTCTCGATCCCCAAAACTTTTTGAAGCCATTGTCGCCGAACACTTTCGACTATTTTTCTATATTATTAGGGCATTATGCAGGTATAACAGCTGGTTAAAATTCTTAAGGACGAATATCAGGACCTAGTAATTAAATGTGAAATAATAAAAAATTCCAATTGAAAATCATTATTCTGAATCTAATATCGAGTCAGAAAGAGCTCTATCTATTAATGAGCATTCATCCAAAGCCTAAATTGCAATTTCTTGTGTGCATGTAAATTACTCTTGAAATATAATTTATATAGTATTGTGTATGCCAATGTCTTTTTTGCTTATACGTTTGTACTCGCCCTATCTATAACGATGAATGCAAAAGAACTTTTTCAAAATAAAAAATCTGTAAAAAGTAGATTAAGGAGTGCAATGAAGCAAGCTAATTTGAAGTCATTACTATTGATGAACATAGAAAAGCAAAAATTAAAGATATAATGGAGGAAATATTTGCCCAGGCACCTGGAATTAAAAAATCTTTAAATGGCTAATTATGAATCAGCCGCTGTTTTGTTTATATAATTATTTAGTCACTGTTATTTATTGTTTGTAGTTTATTTGAATATATATTATATATCTGAATAAAGTGTTACTTTTCTGTAAAGGTAACACTTTATTCAGATATTCCGTCAAAACCGCTGCCATGCGTTGAGCCGTACGTGGACGAGCATTGTCATGGAGGAGTACAAAACCTGCAGTAAGCATTCCACGCCTCTTGTTTTGAATGGCACGTCGCAATTTCCACAGTGTTTCACAGTAATGGTCAACGTTTACTGTTTCACCATGTGGAAGGAACTCAATGAACAGAATGCCCTTCCTGTCCCAGAACACTGTGCACATCACTTTCCGTACAGATAGCGTCTGTTTGAATTTTCGTCCTGACTGGAGATCCACTATGCCGCCAATGCATTGACTGCTGCTTGGTTTTCGGGGTGAAGTGCAAAATCCAAGTCTCATTGCTCGTGATGATCCTGTCAAGGAACTTGTCGCCGTCATCGTGATAGTGTTACAGAAATGTCAGTGCTGCTCCTAAGCGTTCAATTTTGTGTTCAGATGTCGGGTTTTTCGGCACCCACCTGGCACACAATTTTTTGAACAGCAGGTGCTTAGTGACAATCTCTTGCAACAAGGATTGCAATATCTGCAGAAAATAACTGCGCAGCTTCATAATCATGAAGCGACGGTTCTCCATCACAAGCTCAACAAAATCATCATTGATGAGGAACTGTCCGCCACTGCGCTCTTCATTATGGACACTTTGACGACTTTCCGAAAACTGCCTACACGAATGATGCATCATCTGCTTTACTCATGATGTTTGGCCCATTGACCTGACAATGAATTTCAATCGACGCAATACTTGCATTCAAGAACTTTATCACCGACCCAACCTCGCAGGCAGCAGGAGAAGGAATAAGAGCTTCCATTTCGGACCACTGCAACCACGCTACTGGCACGAAGTGGAACCTGTCCGGCTGGCATATGATTGATATGTCGTAGATCTGTTACGCATGTGCAATTGACATGGCTAATTACGCTAATTACGTAATTTCCGGAAGAAACGCTGCGGCGTTTACGTGTTTAAAACTTAAATTTTCAGCGGGTGCGGCGTTTAGGTGCACTAAAAATAAAATATTTCCTATGATGGTCATTGTACATAGTTTGGATGGCCTTGTCATTGTGCATAGACTGGTGCTGTTCCCACACGAAAGACCACTCAGTTATTTTGTTTACATTCTTTCCCTTGAACGGACCTACATGCCTTATTCACCCTAAACGAGATCTCAGAACAATAACATTCTTCCCCCTTTCAAATCAACATTCTCATCAGTTTGAATAGTCTCTCTTCTCTGCCATTCGATGAATCTTCCAGGACCCATCCTCTCCCCACCCCTGCCTTTTCTGCAATTTTTTTCAA